CTCTCTCTCTCTCTCTCTCTCTCTCTCTCTCTCTCTCTCTCTCTCTCTCTCTCTCTCTCTCTCTCTCTCTCTCTCTCTCTCTCTCTCTCTCTCTCTCTCTCTCTCTGCACTGACGTTAGAAGCGACCACCACGTGTCTCTGATTAAGAAAGCTTAGCGCTTGCTTTTCTGGTGTGCCGTATACACGCAGATAGGCACACATGCCTGCACCACACACGTGCACAGAAACACCCGCGCTCGCACATACGCTCAGACACGCACGCACGCAAACACACAAACACACACACAAACACATACAAATACCCCTCCCCCACCCACCCACACACGCACATGATTATTTATTGATATAACACGAGAAAAGTGATTACAGAATTAGAATAAATTCCCGCATTAGAATGAATATTAGTATTTTTTATTATTTAAATTGTTAATAAGTTTTATTATTATTTTATTCGAATAATTTATTGTCATTATAATTATTAATTAGTATTAGAATTAGCAGGAGCACAGCCTACAGGAAGGAACACGCGATCTCACGGACCGAGAATGACCTATAATTGACCGAGAATTCGTGTTTGTTCTAGAACGGAGGAAGCTATCTAACCAGCTGATGGCAAATTATTATTTTTATTTTTTTTATTTTTTATTAGCCCGTCCGTCCGACACGTCAGCCAGCTCCAAGTGTATTACAATATATTGCATATTATGTAATATATTGTATTACAATAACTTTACCGAAGGCGAATATGATACCGTAAATATTTTTCTTCATTTGAGAACGCCATTCTTTCTTTTTGGAAAGTTACGTAAGAGCGAATTTTCATTTCGTATTGCGGGTTTTGTGCGCATAGATTACAATAAATTACGTATGGGTGAATTTATGTAACCGGAGATACCGTAACACGAGATACGTTTTACTGTATAATTAAATAAATAAATATTAGTTCATAACTAAATAACTAACTAACTAACTAACTAACTAACTAACTAACTAAATAAATAAATAAATAAATAAATAAATAAATAAATAAATAAAAAAAATAAAAAAAATAGACAAAAATAGACAAAAGGACCATGAAGTTCAGTCAGTCAGTCAGTCAGTCAGTCATTCAGTGTACTGACACTAACTCGATACGGCCAAAACATCATGTTAGCCTGAACCAGTTATATAATCAGCGAGTTCAGTGTAACTACCTACAATCAATAATAGTTAAAGTGCACAAATACCAAGCTACTAGACAATACAACCTGAAACTACTATAATTAACTGAATTGAACTACCATAATTAATTAACTGAAACTATATACGTGCGTGCGACAGTGCGTGTATACCTTCACACCAAACCCCACTCTTACCACGCTACGCTATATATATATACTCTTGTTACTACACCAGGAGTGAATAATAGATTGTTGTATTGTTCACTCCTATACATGGCGGACACGGCAAGGGAGAGGCGAGCGCTCTCGCGTGCGACAATGCGCGGGGCAGGTATACTGTAGAAGATTGTCGAATAATATCTATAATTAAAACTGATGAGCGATGCGATCCGGATTGCTCCGACTGATAACATTAGGTATTTATAGCTGGCTGTCGCTGAAGATCATTGTCATAGACAACCAGAGTTACGATGCAGGCCTGCGAGGCGGTGAAGGGGTAAAGGGGAGGGGGGGTAATTCACAGAGCAAGTGAGAGACCGAGAGAGGGAATGAAAGAGAGAGAGAGAGGGGAGGAGTCAGAGATAGAGAGAGAGAGAGGGGGGCAGAGATAGAGAGAGGGAAGAAGGTAGAGAGAGGGAGCGAGAGAGATAGATAGAGAGAGAGAGAGAGAGAGAGAGAGAGAGAGAGGGAGAAGGGGGAAGGTGGAAGAGGCGAGAGAGAGAGAGGCAGAGACAACAACCAACGTGATGCGCGCTAGGTCCTATAATACAACCGTTTATAGTCGTTTCGTTTATATCGCTTTAATTACGTCCTGTTAGAATTGTTGGAATCTTGAATGTACAACATAACGGTATAACATATACATGATATTGTCAACACAACAGCCGTAGGAAAGACAAAAGAAGAACAGTTTTAACTAACAATGAGGTAAGTGAGACAACAGCCATGCACGCAAGCAAACTATAACTGAAGGGTAGCCTTGTCTTAATCAGGTGTTCCGAGTCACGAAAGCAACACGACTACGTTTAGCCCGCCGCTATAGAGAACACATCTCTAATCAGAGATGAAATCTCGTATATACCTGATAAATGAGACGCAGCGAGGCATACCTGCAGAATTCTACCTGGACCAGCTCATTCACGCGCCCCGGGGGGGAGGGGTAGGGTGGGTGGCGGACGAGTACTCATCTGTTTGGTATCCGTCCTGTTTGACGATCGAAATACTTCGTGTAATCGTGAATGGAGAGCTATGAAACTCCTGCTTGTTATAGCGTCTGTAAAAGTATTACACGGTACGAGGACGTGGTCGAAATGCGTTTAATTGCTCTCGCTTATACCAGAGTTTACGTGCATGCATACGTGCAAGGGTCGGGCGTAGCTTTCATCAACAATACGTATTCGCAACGCGTTTAGATTTACGCAATTTAGATCGAACGCTTGATATTCAAATTCCGCCCTGAACTTGACGTAGAATTGCAAATTAGCTCATGACCTGGGTACAAATAGGCAGGTATCTGTCGTTGGTAATACACGATGTCTTATTTCAACATGACAATAATACAATAGTATATATACAGTCATGCGATTATAATAAAACATGATACAGCATAATTAAAACAATAGTTGTTCAGTGTCCTTAATATCTATTTATCTATCGGTTTTTCTCCCTCTCCTTCTCTCCCTCTCTCTCTTTCCCTCGCCTTCTCTCCCCCTCTCTCTTTCTTTATTGCTCTCCCCTCTCTACCGCTCTCCCCCTCTCTCTTTCTTTATTGCTCTCCCCTCTCTACCGCTCTCCCCCTCTCTCTTTCTTTATTCGAGAATCTCCCCTTCTCTCTTTCTTTATTTCTCTTCCCTTTTTCCTTCTCCCCCCTCTCTCTTTCTTTATTTCTCTTCCCTCTCTCCCTCATCTCTCTACCTTCTTCACATTTATAATCATGATCAGTAGTTCCTTTACGCTTCCTGCATCACAACAGACCAAACATGTAACGATTCTAAAGAAAGAAAGAAAGAAAGCGCGCGAGCGAAAAGAGAGAGAGAGAGAGGGAGAATGCGCGAGGGAAAGCAACAAGATAGCGAAGGCGAGGAGAGGGGAGAGAACACGCGTCAACGCGCGAGTTCTCCGCAACTCGACATGTGCTTCAAGACACAGGCTAGTACACCGCACGCCCTATACCAGTGCCGGACTGGCGATCGGGAGCACCGGGAGTTTTCTCGGTGGCCTGGCCTGCTAAGTGCTACCCCCAACAAAAATTAATATTAAATTTAATTAATTTTCCTGGTGGGGGAGTCCCGGGACCCCCAGACCCCCGCTTAAAAACTGGCCTGACTGGAGCTATATTTCGCGCTATATTTCTCGGCCTGAATGATTTTCCCAGTCCGGCCCTGCCCTATACGATATGCTATACTATACACATCCACCTCCGCCCCACGAGATTTGTATCGGAGAGTCTGACGTCGACGCAGCCCTTTATTAAAAATTGCGTGTTACCTGTGTTTGCTCAGCGAGTATGTGTTGCTGCGTCCGCCTGCCGGGGACCAGGGGGCAGTCTCTCTTCTCTCTCTCTCCTCTCTCTCTCTCTCTCTCTCTCTCTCTCTCTCTCTCTCCGACTGCTGCTGCTGCTGCTGCTGTTGCTGCGTGCTGTGCTGGTGTGCAGTGGAATGCGTTCGGCGCAATCTCTCGCACAGAATGTTTACCTGTTCGTCTTACGCTGCTGCTTACCTTCCGTCAATCATGTCGGCCCAGACGTGGGTCAGGGCGCCGTGTCGTGGCGTGGCTTGCGCGTAGGTGCGTGCGTGCGTGCGGTGCGTGCCTGCCTGCGGTGTCTGCCTGTATTCTTTATGTGCCTGCCGTGCGTGCCTGCATGCTTGCCTCCGCTGCTTACTAATTTCAATTTATATTGAACACGCTTATCATTCCACGTTGTATTATATATATATTATATATAATATATAATATATATATATATATATATATATGTGTTTACGCCGGCGTATTCCCGCTCATATTGGCTGTGAATCACTAATGAAGCATCCATGTATCGTTCGCACATCGCAGCTAAACGGAAACGGATGGCGGATGCACATGAAACACGCATCAATCACACACCGCGTGGCATCGCATCGTCTCTCTCTCTGCTTATGATGCTGCTGCTGCTGCTGCTGCTGCTGCTGCTGCTGATGATGATGATGATGAGGATGCTTGCTGCTTGCTGCTGCTGCTGCATGCATGATGCTGTTTGCTGCTGATGCTGTGAATGCTGCATAGCTTGGCTGCTGTTACTGGCCCTGCTGCTGCTGCTGCTGCTGACTGTTACTGCTGCTGCTGCTGCTGCTGATGCTGATGCTGATGCTGATGCTGCTACTGCTTCTGCTGCGGAATTTAACACGGAACGACTGTAACACGTGCCGTACGTGATTTGTAACATCGAGCATTGTAGGAAAACAGTGCGAGACTGTCCTGCGAATGAGGAGAAACTAATCTATCAGCGGTGTATGGCGGTATACACATGCAGACAGCGGACAGTGTGGCTGGTACACACACACATATATATAAGCGCACTCACACAGTAGCGGGATGTGTGTATGCGCGGGTGTTGTGCGATATGTTAATGTTGTTGACGATACACGTAAACAACTTCTATAATGCGCACAGTGTTGCGTGCGTGCGCGCATGTGTGTGCGTGTATGCGTGTGCGCGCGTGTGTGCGCGCGCGTGCGTGCGCGTGCGTGCGTGTGTGTGCGTGTCGCGTGCGGACTGTGTGCGCGTGTTGATGCTGTGCGAGTAGCGTATGTGGCGCGTGCGATGGTGTGGTGTGTGCGTGCGTGCGTGTGAATGTGCGTGCGTGTTCTTGCATGTACCGTAATGAAAAATATGACAGCTAGGTTACGAGTAACATGTACACACATACACAACACACACCACTACACAATACACCACAGCACACACACACAGCACACACCACACACACACACACACACACACACATATGTGCTCACACATATATATACGAAGGGCACAGCAGGCCACGACAGACCTATACACACAGCACACAACACACACACACACAGAGCACAAGTCACACCATCACAGCACACACACCACACACACACACACACCACACACACCACACATACACACACACACACACACACCACCATACAACACACACACACACACACACACACAGCACACACACACACACACAACCACACTACACACCACAGGCACACACGCGCATGTCACTCCATGACGAACACACACAGCAAATAGAACACCAGAATATTCATTGCGAATATGTACAGGCTTTAGTTCTTCTTAACC